CACAGAAGTGTAGAGAATATCTGAAAGAATTTTTTACTTTGAATATGTATAAGGGTACTTCAATTGCGATGGTGTGGGATGCTAGCAAAGCTTTTATGCAAGGAGTTTTGATTCAAATGAATAAAGCCTACAGGCGTAAACAATTGCAGAAAAGTAAACAGCTGGAAGAGGAGATTAAATTGAAAGAAAGAGCATTAATTTTGAATGGATAACATAGATAGATAGAATAAATTATAAAGGTAAAGTGGTTTCTCAACAAGAGCTGATTAAAAAAACTTTTTTAGATTTTTATACAAAATTATATACTGGTGAAAAGATACAGAGTTTGGATATAGATAAGTATTTACAAGAAGCCCATTTTCTTAAGCTTACAAATGATCAACAAAATGAGATTAATGGCTTAATTACTTCAGAGGAAATTATTATGGCTATTAAACAATTAAAAGTCAGCAAAGCACCTGGTACAGATGGATTGACTGCAATCTATTATAAAACATTATCTGAGGAATTGTTAGAACCATTAAAAGAACTTTTTAATAGTATATTATTGGATGCAGAGATACCTCCATCTTGGAAAAGGGTGTTTATATCACTGATTCCAAAAGAAGATCAAGATCTTACTCAACCAAAAAATTATAGACCCATATCTCTTTTGAATACAGATTATAATTTTTTTTCTAAAATATTGGCGAATAGATTGATGATTGTTTTGAAACAAGTGATTCATACTGATCAATCTGGTTTTATAACTGGAAGATATATAAAAAATAATGTTAGACAAATTGTTAATTTAATTGATTATTTGGATAAACATAACCAGATCCCTGCTGCCTTGATTTTTCTAGATGCTGAAAAAGCTTTTGATCAGTTAAATTGGCATTTCTTGTTAAGAGTAGTAGAGAAGATGAATTTTGGGGATAAATTTTTGCAAGCCCTTAGGAGTATTTATCAACAACAATCGGCTCAAATTATAATTAATGGAGGATTAACAGAGGTTTTTCAAATTGGAAAGTTACAAGATAGGGATGTCCGTTATCTCCTTTATTGTTTGTTTTAACACTAGAAATCTTGTTAATAAAATTTTGTGAATCAACTACAATAAAGGGAATAATGATAAATAAGAAGCATTATAGGTTAAGAGCTTTTGCTGACGATTTGGTAATTACTTTATCTCAATCGATTAATTTGGTTTTAGATTTGCTACAAATTATAACTCAGTATGGGCAAGCTTCTGGTTTTAAGGTTAATAATAATAAGACTAAAATATTATCTAAATATTTGACTATTAAGGAAAAGGAAATGTTAGTTAGTTTGACTGGTTTTGAAATTGTAAAAAAGGTTAAATATTTGGGGCTGTATATAACTGCTTCTAATGCAAAATTGTATAAAAACAATTATGAGACATTATGGATTAAAGTGCAGAAGGATTTAAATGATTGAAAAAAATTACAATTAACTTTGTTAGGGAGATTTCTGCTTTAAAATGAATGTTCTACCAAAATTTCTTTTTTTTTTGTTTCAAATGATACCTATTCTGAAAAAAAGGTGTTAATTTAGATGAATGGCAGAAGGGTATCAATAAATTTATTTGGGCAGGGGAAAAAAACAAGAGTTAAGTTTAAGATTATTCAGGATGTATGTGAAAGGGGAGGATTTAAGATGCCTAACTTGAAATTGTATTATGATGCTGTGGCTTTAACATTGATTAGTGATTGGATTAATTTAACAAATCAAAATATACTTTCTTTGGAGGGAAGGGATTTATTATATAGATGGCATGCTTATTTAATTTACAATAAGAAAGTAGATAGGGCTTTTAAGTCCCATATTTTAAGAACTGCTCTATTGCATGTCTGGAAGAAATATTATTATAGATTAAATTATAAAATACCAATTTGGGGGATTCCTGGACACACAGTAGAGGGGATATTGAGAGGTGTGAAGTTGGATAGGATTTCTTATAATCAATTGCTTAAATTGGAACGGAAGGATTGGCAATTAAAATTGCTAGATGAATTAAGGCAAGAAAATATTGTTTACTCTTGGTTTCAGTATAGGCAAATGTTAGATAGATGGAGTTTAGACCAAAAGGTTGGTTTTACTTTGGAAGATGAGAATTTGATAAAACAAATTAGAGATCAAAATCGAGCTCATATAAAGAAAGTTTATAATGTTTTAGTGGAATTGGACTTAGAGACGGAATTAGTTAAAGATTGTATGATAAAATGGACTCAAAATTTTCAAGAGCCGATTTTATTAGATACATGGGAGGCAATTTGGGTTGGGAATGTAAAGTTTACTCAGGCCCAAAATTTACGAGAAAAAATTTATAAAATGTTTTATAGGTGGCATTTGGATCCACAGAAGTTGTCTCGCATGTATCCTAATTTACAACCTAAATATTGGAGATGTGGATGCTTGGATGCAACTTATTACCATATTTGGTGGACATGTAAAAATATAAAAGCCTTTTGGATTAAGATTTGGTGGAACATTCAGAAGATTTTTAATGGAAAGATAAAGTTTTCACCACAATTATTCTTGTTAGATTGTGATGTTAAAGAAACTATTTTAATGTTGAATCTTATTACGGCAGCAAGGTTATTGGTTGGACAATATTGGAAGAAAGATTCTTTGCCTACTATAGAAGAATGGTTGCTTAAAGTTTCTAATTTAGCAGAAATAGCTAAAATTTCTGCTTATTTGAAGGATCATTCACAAGAAAGATACATCTTGGTGTGGAGAAGATGGATAAATTTTGTACAGAATAAATATGGGATTAGAAAGTATTATTTAGTTTTTGAATAACTTAAAGTTTAAAGTGGGAATTATTTATATTGTTATTTCTGTTTTTGCTTGAATTTTTTTTTATATATATATTTGAGTTAAAGTATTTTAGGGATTTTATTATTTGTATAGTTGGATAAGCTTAGTTAGAATTTGTTTGTTTATTTTTTAACCCTGTAATCAGCTCTGGGAAGTAAGGGGAGGGTTTGGGGAGGGAGATAGGGGGGGATATTGTATTGTATTAAAAATTTGTATAAAACTTTTCAATAAAAAAAAGAAGAAACTAGACAGCCATTTGTGCAAAATGGTATAGAGTTACCTGCCTGAGCAGGGGGTTGGACTTGATGATTTCCAAGGTCCCTTCCAACTGTATTATTATTAGTAGTATTATTAGTATTATTATTATTATTATCTCCTACAGACAATTGTTAAGTGAATTTTGTCTCATTTACAGTCTTTCTTGCTACACCTGTTAAGTGAATAACTGTAGTTGTTAAGTTAGTAACACAGTTGTTAAGTGAATCTGGTTTCCCCATTGAATTTGCTTGTCCAAAGGTTGCAAAAGGGGATCACATGACCCTCAGACACTGCAACCATCATAAATATGAGTCAGTTGCCAAGCATCTGAATTTTGATCACATGACCATGGGAATGCAATGGTTGTAAGTATGAAAAATGGCCATAAGTCCCCTTTTTTCTATGCTGTTATAACTTTGAATGGTCACTAAACAAACTGTTGCTAAGTTGAGGACTACCTGTACAAATTTCCTGTATTTTTTGGTTACATTTTAATAAGGAGACTGGGACATAATTATATATGGTCATTATACCATTGCTACAAAAATAATTCTAATGGTGGGCCAAGACTTTTGCACAGTGCAATATGTGCCCTTCCTCAAGAAGTAATTGCTCAGCCTAGTTGTTTTTGATAATTATAAAACAATCTCCAACTTCTTCTTTCTGCAGGATCAGTAGTTATGAAAGGCACTTGAAGACATGGATTACCAGTGCTAGTTTCAAACTGGGATCAAGCATTAATATTAAACCACATTAGACCACACTGATGTACTATTCTAAAACCTGATTAAGGGGCATGCAGACCTCCTGATTCTAAGTGATCTCTCAGCTGTGTTTTGGACCACCTCCAAGAATTAAGTATGATGAAATTGTTTGGCTGTAGTTTCTCTTCATTCTTCAGGGGCAAGTTTCAGAAAACCTTTCTCTTTGAGAACAGGGTTCCATCATACCCAGGGTTCCATCCTACTCAGGATGAACTCTGCTGGTACATAGGAAAGCCACTAACTTCTGGCTATTTCAGAAAGCCTTTGGGAAACTGATAAAATAATGATACATCTGTTGTTATTGAACATGTCTTTCCTCAGAACGTTGCTGAATGTGATCCCACTATCACAATTACCACGATCTGTTTTATGGTTTAATTTTTTTATTGTATTGAAGTAACTGCCACTTAGAACAAACTGGTATTGAAACACTTTATTAGTCCAAGTAAATAAATAAATAAATATAGGATTGTTAACTGAGTATCACATTTTAATCAGGCAAAATAAATCATTTACTGAGTGGAATGAATGAATGAATGAATGAATGAATGAATGAATGAATGAATGAGTCAGTCATTCATTCAGTCAGTCAGCTAATCATTAATCACAACAGGAAAAAATGGATATTGGAAATAGATATTGAAATTACAATCTTATCAAAAGTTTCTTGGAGTACAGCCCATTGGCCTCCCTAAAATTTGATCTGTGTGACTATTTAAATCCTCATAGATAATAGGACCAAGAACAAACATCTGCCTCCTTCCTTCATAGTTATCCCTGTATTTAGCTGGTAAGTCTACAAAATCAAGATAACCAGAGTCACTTGGCTCAGAATAAAACTGTTCACATGATCTGGGACTTTATATCCAGACTTTCATAGGAAATGGACAATTAAATCCTCCCACCAGTGCATACTGGCTCTCTAAACATTTTAAGGTGGGGAACTGAAAGAGGTGAATCTAGTTCAGGCATCCAATTTTATATTAATTTAAAATGTTCATGTATACAGCTAACTGCTGGAAGTGGCATTTAGACTACAAAAAATATCATTAATAGCTCACTGAAGCTAAAGGAAAAGCCAGTAATGGTTTATTCCATTCATTGTTTAGAATCTATATGATTTTTGAATTGTTAGCTGAATGCCATAAGTCTTTAGTGCTTTCTTCTGAAGAGTTCCTTATTATTTAATTCAGGTTTCACTATAATGATATAGATTTTTGGAAGAAAAATACAAATCAGTAGGCCAGCATTGGAGGCCAGGATGGAGAAGATCTCCACAGCCACCATATATTTCCCCTTGGTACTTAAATAAGCTGGGAAGAAAGACAACCAAACAGCGCAGAATATTAGCATGCTGAAGGTGATAAACTTGGCTTCATTAAAAGTATCAGGCAGTGTCCTGGCTAGAAAAGCTATTACGAAGCTCACAACAGCCAAGAAACCCATAAAGCTGAGGACACAGTAAAACATGATATTTGAGCCTTCATTACATTCTAATATAATTTCTTCAGGCAAAGAATGCATGTCAAGATCTGGGAATGGAGGAGCGACAGCCAGCCATGTTATACAAATAATTATTTGAAGAAAAGAGCAGGAAAAAACAATGGAGTTGGCCAGAGGTTTCCCCACCCACTTCCTTATTTTGGAATTAGGCTTGGTGGCTTTAAAAGCTAGAACCACAATTACAGTTTTACCCAAGACGCATGACACAGCTATTGTAAAGATGATGCCAAAAGCACTTTGTCGAATAAGACACATCACCTTCTCAGGCTGGCCAATGAACAGTAAAGCACAAAGGAATGAGAGCAGGAGAGAAACAAGGAGAGTATAAGTGAGATTCCTGTTGTTGGCTTTGACAATGGGAGTGTCTTGGTACTTTATAAAAAGTCCAAACACCAATGCTGTGATTAAAAAAAGTGAGAGTGCAAGAATGGTCAAACTAATCCCTAATGATTCTTTGTGTGACAAATAGATTATTTCTTTCGGAAGACATCCATCTTGTCCATGATTTGGAAATTGTCCTTCTGGGCACTGAATGCAATCATCCATGTCTGAAAGAGAATTCATGTCTACCATCAATATGTCATATTGCCAAAGTCCTTAAAAAATCAGTTAAGATGTGTCTAAAAGAGACAGCTTTAGTCTTTCCCATCACTGAATTATGCTATTGGCTGGGAAGTATTAGTTTATAAATTGGAATATTTAGTAACCCCATTGTATAAGTCACTATCATATATCTGAAAATTATGATTTCCTAAGGACATCCTTGGTATTTTGTTCTGTCTGTTTTGTATGCAATGCATTTTACTCATGTTATATATGTAACCTGGTTTCTTATAGTTTTAACAATATACACAAAATAATACCATGCATATCAGAGGTTATATAGGACTATATCTTCATTTGCAGATGCTACCATCATGATTTAATTGAACAACTGTTAAAATATAAGGTCAGCTTTGCACCTTACATATACCTATCAATATTGTGGGTGGGTGTGTTTGTGTGCGTGTGAGAGACTTTTGAAGACAGTATTAACTCTTGGTGTAAATATTTTAGGAATTGGTTTGCCATTTTCTTCTTTCCAAGACCAGAGAGTCAAAGTCATCTAGCTGATTTCATACCATAAGGTGGAACTAGAGCTTATGGTCTCCTGGATTCTAGTCTGGTGTCTTAACCACCATATCAAATTGGTTCTCATATCTGTATTTGTTTCTGTATCTATATTTACACAACAAATGTTTCTGACCCATTAATACATTAGGTTCTTACCCTTCTGATTTGAAATCTTCCCTTTTGGACAAAGAAAGCAATCATAGCAGCAAAATGGCAGGCCTTCCTTTTTTCTCTTACTAAAACCTTTAAAGCAGTTGTCATTGCATATTGAAATGGGACAGGCCTGAAGGTAAAAAAAAAATAGAAAGACACCATTTAAACAATGACAAATATAATTAATTTGTGTTGGAAGGAAAAAGGCAAAACAAAGGGGGGTTGGCTTACCTGATTTGAATTTGTATGTGGCAGCTTGCTATTTGGTTTGGATAAAAGGATGAACGTTACTGATAAATTTGGAGTTAGAAGGGCATAATTTAAGATTTGGGTGGCATAGATGTCTATGATACAATAAAGCTAAGGTTAATGTAAATATTAAAAATAAGTTTGTTAGATTTGAGCAACAAATATAAACCTAGACTGTACTTTAAAATACCTTTGTAGCTCTTAGCATAGGAAGCATTTGATAGAAGAGAAATGCCTACTAAGTGTTGACTTACTTTGATATATTAGAATTTTGTCAAAAGAAAATGTAAAGTAACAGAAAAAGAAAAACTGGTGATAGAAGGATGTTCAAATCAACGGGTTTTATACATGAGTTAGTAGAAAGATTTAAAGTAGATAAGAGAACTTTTGGTTTTGAGCAATGTAAGACTGAATTTGAAATGAAATTGTGTACAAATGATGAACATGTTATTGCTGAGATGCCTGAACTTTTACTGAAATATGAAACAGAAGAAGTAAAAGAAGGAATGATAAAATGGGCTAAGTTCTTTGGTTGTAATATATACATGGATCAGTGGGAGAATATGTGGTCAAAAGGTTTGAAATTAAAGAGAATTTTTATAAAATGATGTTTCATGGTGCATGTCACCTGAACTCTCTAAATGTTTAAAGGATCTTCAAATGTGTGCTGCAAATGTAGCATACACAACAGCTCCTGCAACAACACCATCCACACCACCATAATGTTAGCACTGCCTTTTGTTAGGACTGGCTGTGTGCAATCCATTTTTTCTTTGGTGAAAAGATCTGGAAACCCAGAACAAATGCATTAACTTATACCTGATTGAACTTGCTAGGCCATATAATATTATTCTCGTCAATGGTGAATGAAGTATTTGATGACACATGTGGAACAATCTTTCCAACTTTGACTCTAAGAAAAGAATTGTTTGTAAATGTCACCCAGTTGATAATATCAAATGCAGCTATTCTTTCACCATTTTGGTCAAAATAAATATTTTCTCCAGCACTGCTGTTAAATGAAACTTTTCTTAGAAAGTGATGTAACTAAAATATAAAGGGAGAAAATTCATAAGGATAACTAATAAGTGGAGGATGTGCTATTTTTAGGAAGGAAGGAAGGAAGGAAGGAAGGAAGGAAGGAAGGAAGGAAGGAAGGAAGGAAGGAAGGAGAGAGAGGGAGGGAGGGAGGAAGGAAGGGAAACATGCAAGAGGTACAAAGTACAAACAACTATTCTATGAACAATGTTTGGAGTATCAGTAGTATAACAACTTTACTTAATCTTTCATTTGCTACTCCTTTTGTTAAGACTGTGCAAAACATTGAAGAGGTCCTTTGTTTTGTTTATGCTTTGAGTAAAAAGCCTTTTCAAAACCACACAGCCTCTCATTTTTAAAGAGTATAACAAACCTTCCATATTGCTCTGTTCTGTGTCATTCTGACAGATTTTCCAATTGAGGAACTTTCAGGATGGGGTTTTCAGGAGTTAATCCAGGGATGAATTGACCTTGTCATGGTTTAGTCTACTGCAGCTCTCATGACATTGTTGAACCAAAAATCTCTATGACTGTAAAGATATCTAAGTTGGTACAGATACCAAATCCATGCAATTAGATACAACTTGTAATTGTTCAGAATCCTAAAAAAAAAAAAAAAAAAAAATCTCATTCCCACTCTAGGAAGATCTGGGAGACAGGCCTTGCTGAGGATGTTATTTCAAAAGGAGTTTCATTTACCAGGATCCTGTAGCAAAGGCTTCTCAGTGACATTATCTATCCATTTCCTATATAAAAGACTACTTCACCCTAAAGAGTTTCCATAAAGAAGTAACATTTTAACTTGGAGAAATTTATTATTTTGGGTCTATATATCCTTAGATATATAAGATTTTGAAAGGTATATAAGAAGGATTTGAAACCTTGTTTGTTCAATAAACAAGGTTTATTTGGAGGAAGGGTGATAAACAGATGTTGAGAATGGTAATAGGGCTGTTTTAGTACAAATTGTTTAGTAAAGCTATATGGTAGATAGGTTTAAGTTAGTATACTTGTAAAAGATTATTTTCATTGTCATTGTGAATATATTGTGGTACACATTTATTTTATTCATGTTATTTTCATTTTATGTTTTATTTCTTGTAATTTTCATTGTTGTTCATATCTTATTTGTTAATATTTAACTGTAGTTGGATTCTTGAGGCAAGATATTAAAATAAAATAAAAAAAAATGCTTTCTTATTGCTTTAGGATCTATTCTGCTGGTTAGAATCTGTCCCTGTGATGATTGTTACTATTTTCTTGTTTTTAATCTGTTTATTTGCTGTGAACAGGTCATATTATTTTTATTAATAATAATAGGAAATGGCTAATATTTCTTTGCAGAGGCAAAAATAGAAGACTCTGTCTTTGGTTTGTTTAAGATTGCAATTCAGCTCTAGCCTTCATTCAATAGCATCAGCTTCAGAAAGTGGGGGGGAGAAACCCTGCATAGATCATCCATCTCGATCCTAACAGTTCATGAAGGAAGCAAGCCACCATGACATCCCTTAGGGCTGGAATTGTTTAATGTTTGCTAAGTGATTAAAGTAGACATCATAATAAACATTCTACTAATCAGTTAACATAAGATGAATCTGAGAGCTGGAATGAAAGGTTTTTTGTACTCAATCATACATAACCCATTTAACATGAGAAATAAAATCAAAATCACATACAAACAGTACAACAGCAAATATCGTCCATAGGTATCACCAAATTCTTTGAAGTCCAAAGTCATGCAAGACTATTGGTGAAATAAAAAGAAGAAAGATCTTCATCCAGTCTAACACCTTATTTCCTAAGTAGTTTTAAACTTGTTGCATGTACATATTTTCCATTTGGTTTTACCTGCCTTGAATGTTGATCAAGAAGCTTCTTCTCTTTTGACAAGGTGTGTTGTTTGGAATTCATCACATGTATTAAGTGCAGGGCATGTGCCACGGTATGGATAGCATTGTAGATACTATAGCTGTGAGCAGTCATTCTTATCTCAAAAACAGAATCAGGGAGAACGTTCAGCTCCTCCTCTCCAGTGCAGGTCCTTTCAGGTCCATATTTGAGTTTGGGTTAGACAAGGAACATCCAAATACACTTTCCCAAAATAGCTGGAGAAAGCCATCTTCTTTTTCTGAGCTAGGTTTTCTGGTCTGAAGAAATGTTTGGAATCCCAATATCTCCTCAGAGTGAATTGCCAAAGCGAGAGCACCATGAAGGAAGTCTATGCCCGTATTCCTTTGAAAAGGGAGGGATGTGAAGTCCATCTGAGCAGTCATGATCCAAACTTTTCTCTCAGCCTTAGTCAATCTATCATATTCTGAAAGTGCGATAAATACTCTGAAAACTAGCATTGTCTGCAGTTCTCCGTGCGTGAATAAGACATTGTAACTGCTTCGCTCAGTTATCTTATAGGTTTCAACCCCTTTTTCTACAAGATTAAATGTGTTACTAGAAAAACTGTGTTTGGGTAAGTTTTGAATAAAATCAAAGCAAATGCCACTCTGAGAAAAAAATGGAAGGACTTTCTGCACAAGCCTTTCCCCATTCTCATCTTCAACATAAAGCACCCCTATCCATGTCCACCTGAAATATAGAAGTAAGTGAAGAATTCCATTGTATTGATGAGTCCAGTTTGGAAACATCTGTTGAGCAAAAGCTCCTTCATGTTTGTTATCCATTGCTGGAGAAGAACCATACATGAGCTAAAAGAGATTTGAAAAGGAAAGCAGGTTTGCAAAATACATTAATATGTATGTGTGTGCATGTATGTATACATACACACAAATTAACACAAATCAAAGATGCATAGAAAAAGAAAATAGAAAATAGAAGAACAAAATATACTAACAGGTAAATAAAGAGCAAGTTTATCACATATGCACTATAAACTATTATAATATATAGCTTATTGATCCTGAAGAAATCCATAAAATTCATAAAATTTGATAAAAATGTGATAACTGTCTCTCATGTCTCATTTTTTTCTAATGTGGCAGAGACTATGTTAATCCACATTTCAACTGTTATATTTTCTTGAGTTTTTCAGTGTTGGACAATTATAATTTTATCTGCTGAAATTAAATAGATAAATGGCATTTTCTGAAATGGCATATTTTTAAAAATGTGATTGTCAGACATTTACTCTGAGAGAGGAGAAATTATTAACTATTTGCAAAACTACTGAGAGATTATTATCTACTTGTCAAATGCAGTTCCATCTCTTTCTCTCTTTCTCTCTTTGTCATCTATCTCTCATTTGTCAATTATCTATCTATCTATCTATCTATCTATCTATCTATCTATCTATCTATCTATCTATCTATCTATCTATCTATCATCACCTATTTTCACCTATTTCAGGTGAAAATAATCCTGCTTGCAAAACACCACTTTACTAGATCAAGGTGGAACTGTACTCTGCATTGTGGACTATCCTGCTCTAATTTTAGATAAATCCTTGTACTCAAAACATGAAATCAAGTCAAATGTCCACTTCATATTTAAACTCCAGATGTCAAGCTTCTGTCAAAACAAAGTTCATTCAATCGTGTTTTTAATGAATTTCAGAAATGTATATTCTGTTTCTTCATCTAATGTACTCAAATACATTTATTTAGAAAATGAACATAGCAACCATTTAAAAAAAATAGCAATCCAAATTACAGCAAAACAAAAATCCAACATTGGAACTGCCAAAATGTAATCATTAACATATATAAATAGCAATGCATAATCAACAACACACAAAAAAAAACAGGAGAAAGAGAATCGTGAACACAGAAGAGTTAAAATTAAGTAATGAAATACTATTAGGTAGTGAGGAACAAAGTTGGCAACCAAGAAAGCCCAGGAGAACGTAGAAAGTACTTACCTGCGGAATCTTATAGATACTTAGAATGGTGGCCATATGGCGGCAGACATTTGAGTCAGGTCCTCCAATGACTGCAATTGCACTACTCCTGCTATCACACTTATAATTTGGAATGAACTTCTTCCAGGTAGAGAAAAGTTCCATTGAGGCAAGATAAGTTGAGCTTGCACTCAAGTGACTGTTATAGATCTGGAAGCCCAGAGTGATGTTTGGCAAAATGTGTGGGTTTTCATTGATGTCCTTTATTGCAAATGCCAGAGCCAGAATATGTTGGTAATTCTGAGCCAAAATCCTACAAAAGTGGATGTATTATTGGAGAGAAACTCTATGATAAAAAACAAAGCCACCATCTAGAATGATGCTTTTTGTTTCAAACAGTATCTATTTTGGTAGCCAACACATCATTTTAAGCAAGAACCGAAAACAGATAAAAAGCCCTTCAAGATGCAAAGAAATGAGGAGACTTGGCATTGCCTGTTTTGAAGTTGCATTGTCCAACCTGCTCTTTAATTTGGATGGAAGAATTCATGTTGCTGAGAAATAAAATAATGTTAGAAGGGCACAATACATAGTTTGGATGGCATAGTTTTCTGTGGTTTAATAAAGTTAAAGTCAATGTAGATTTAAAAATCACCATATTAGAAGTGCCATATTAACAATATGTAATAGATCTTTATCTAGAATGTATAAAGGTACTCTAAATTTGTGTTTGAAATGGGCAACATGAAGGACCATTTTATCATGACTGGTAGATTTTAGAAAATCAGAAAACTTTGGGTTCAAATACATAAAAACACAAGGAATTTTAAACATAAAAATATAGCCAGAAAGATAAATCTATTTTGTCTTGCCACTTGCTAAACATTTGGATTTGTTTTGCCAGGACTGTACAATTAGAAAAGAACCATGGAAGTTTATCTCTGCTGCAAGACTTATGCACAAAAATGAGAAGTCCCTGAAATATCTGCAGCAGAGGGATGATTGATGAAGATGATAGAATTAGCAGAGATGGCAAATTTAATTTGTTTGCTTAGAGAAAGGTCAATGACTACATTTATTATTGATTGGAAACCCCTTATGGACTTTTTCCTGGAAAGGAAAAAAATAAACTGTGACTTATGGCTTTGATACATAGAAATAGTATATTATGGACAGAAGGAAATTATGATGTAAGCTTAGAGAGGGGGTAAAATATATAAAGTATGTACTTATAACTGTTATTAAAAAAAATCAGAAGCCACTTCTTTATTACTTTTTTCTTTTTCTTTCTTTCCAAATCCCTTTTTTTCCTCTTTCTTATTACTTTTCCCTAGTTTTCTTTTTGTCAATTCAAAATTTATATTGTTATTATACTGTTGAAAACATCTTTAATAAACATTGCATTTTTTTTTAAAAAAAAGAGTTTCTCTGTTTAGGTTTAGGTTAGGTGCTATATTTCTCTTTGCATATAAACCCAATAACAACTCTGTTTTATCATACGTTTTCCTGTATGTGTTTTTTTAAATCTCTCCTCTATCTAATATAAAGATGCCTTTGATTCAACCTATATTGTCCTCAAGCATTTTTCTAACAACATTATAGCATTCAAATTGTAATGCTTATTCTAGGACTTTTTTTTCCTCTTGAATTCCCACTCCAGTCAGCTTAGGCAGTTAGTTAGATCAACTATCTTAGATTTTCCCTCCAAGATTTAACCATGTTCAACCCCCTCCCCCCCACACACACACCTATTGTTAGACTAGTCAAAGTTGATTAAGTATGTTCTCTGAAATTACATATATTCAGATAAAGGGAATAATACATTTGGTATGACAAGAGGAACAAGGCAATATCCATGGCTGTTGGGTGCCTTCATATATCAGAAGGCTTGTTCTATACAAGACGTGGCTGAAATGTTCAAACTTGTTCCAGAAGACAAGATAAAAAAAACATAATGTTTAAATTATTAGAAAGCAGATTTTGGTTGCACACCAGAAATAATTTCCTAATGATAAGAACCATTTAACTATAAAGGACACTTCATCAGGAAATATTTTCACAGGAAAAAAAAATCTTTCCAGACTGGCCATAAGGCAAAAAAAAAAAAATGTTTAGCAAGTGGCAAGATAAAATAGCTTTATCTTTCTGGCATAATACTTATTTTAACTTGTTTTAGTTTCGTTTCTACCTGGCTTCTTTTACGATGTGTTGCATTTATGTATACCATCCAGAATCACTCTGTGCGTAAGATGGGTAGTACCTAACTTCGACAAAAATAAATAAAAGTGATATACAATAGATTAAGCATTATCAACCTAATCTAGAAAAAAGATGCCATACTATAAATTATACATGACTGTATCATCAGAACAAAACTCTAATAATGAAATGCCTCTTAAGTTCTCTTTTGAGAACTTCCTTACATGATATCATCTAAGAGATCCAGCGAAGGAGCCATTTTAAAGGTTATTGGATGTAAAAAGACATAACTCTGAGACATAATACCAGCAATGTTGAGTTCCCCTGGATGGTAATATTTATGAAGAATAGGAAGTAGAATCTGGATTCCTAGCAACATTAATACTGATATCAAGACCACTATTATGCTGCATTAAAATCTGCTTTCTGGGAAGTCTTTCTGCCAGCTTTGTTGGAGTAGTCAAAGATATTTGAGTATCATAAAAACTGGATAATTATTCTCTTATTAAACACGTTGATGCAAAAGTTGGGTGTGCCAAATGTCAAGCAAATGTTTATCTTTTCTAATTGGTAGAGGCTGGATTATTAGAACAATTTAGTCTTAATAGTGTTGCTGCAGCCCAAGGACTCACTTTAATGAAAGAATGAAAGCATCATGATGATCTTGATAATTATAGGATAGATTGAACTGACAGTTATTTAGAACTGCAAATGTTTTGTACAGGACTTTTTTTCTCACAGAACGCCCAGAACAGAGTTCTGACACTTTTTTTGGATGGAACCTTGTAAGGTAGGCAAGGTGGGTTGTATGACATGTGTGAGTTCTGGCACTTTTTTTTTTTTAGAAAAAAAGCACAGGTTTTGTAGAATAGGTTGATTCTAGATAAAATTAATCAAACTTGCTTTTGGTTTGAATTGACTAATGCCTAATGCATTCAATACGATGGCAGTTAATTGCAATGAATCTACTACATTATAACATAGACCACATTGGATCTATACTTAATGTTCAATATCTTTATTGTTTTTCATTCATTTTGAATGAAAACATAATGGAAAATAAGTATTTCCTTGATTACTTAAGTGAAAAAAGAATCAAGTCTATGGGTATGTAAAGCAACAAATACAATTTATAGTATTATATATGAAGAGAGAGTCCAGAATAAATCAGCAGACTAATTAGGAAAGAATAAGCAAGATGGGTGGCATAAAGTCTAATAAATAATTAAATAAAAATAATATAATAATTCAACTTAGTGATTAATCACGTCCATAATATGAAGATCCTCATTGGCATCTTCATATTTCTACATATATAATATAGCTTTTCTCTATTCTAATTCTTTTACTGATATGTTGGCATGATAAATATAGATTGTTTTGAGATTGCTTTGTTCTATTTTAATTCTTATTCTAATTCAATTAAAATTGAATTAATTCTAACTGAAGAAACAATGGATGGAATCTAATCAAGGGGAGAAGCAACCTGGAATTAAGGTGAAACTTTCTAACAGTGAGAACAATTAACCAGTGGAACAGCTTGCCTTCAGGAATTATAGATGCCATTGTTGCATGAGTAGACTGGGTGGATTTTTCAGAAATAGAATTTAGTCTATGGAAGGATGTGAAACACCCCGTTTGTCTATCTTTTCATGTTGCTCTAAAGTACTTTATCATTTTCCTGGTAGGTTGCATAAAACAGGATTGTGAAGGGCTCCATCATCCCAAAACCTGTTTTAGTTCCCCAGACTTCACTATGAAGAGATATTAATTGTATTGGGGAATATCCAATGATATTGGGATTATAATACTTTATTTGGGTCAAGGATTTACTAAGCTATTGGGTAGCAAGGGTATAATCTAAAAATAATAATAACAATAACAATAATAGTTATTTGTCCCAAAAGGATTTTGTGATCACATTTATGGTGCATTATTTAGTTATAACAAAATCAAAACAATTTTCTGTTTCAACTGAATAAAAGTGCGATGAGTGTAGTAAGACTGTGAACACATTTAAGGCAAGAATAATGTTTATGTCACATCTTGATTTAACTGATTACCTTTGCAGAAAGCTGTCCTGAAAAACAAAGCTCTGATCATATAGATCAATTGTTGGTATGGAGAATCCATACAACATGATATGCAGCTTTGCTACTGCTTATAGACAGAAAGCTGTCAGTTTAAAGCTGTTGCTTTGCAGGCTTGGGTCCAGAGCAAGTCAGTTAATTTTTTGTAGGTGTTTAAATCCATGGATAAGTTGTGATCAGTGTCTTCTATCAAGTTAAATAAAAAATAATTTTAACACAATATATAACCTAAGCCAGACATGTCAAACTCGTGACATCACGTGACGTCGTGCAACATATCGGAGCTTTTTCGCCATTATTGGGAATAGGGTGGGCACGACTCCAGTATGATGAAAACGGCCTGTGGGCCTGCAGTTTGACACCCCTGACCTAAGCACTTTAACTCATACTACTCTAGGAAGAGTTCTATATAACTTAATTCATATTGTTTGTTTAATAAACTTTGTGATATTAGCCACAAATATTCTCTGAGGACACAGAGAGCTTGAAAATGATAAAAATTATCACTCATTTGGTTTGCTTACATAATGAAAGCCAAAGCAAGTTGATAAAACCTTCATTCTTATTTGATTGTATTTACCATGGGAGGAAAACAGCAATTGAAATCAATCTAGGAATCATCCTATGAAGAGTTGACAAAGGAGCACGTGAAAGTAACTTGATCAAAAATTGTGCCATTTATGCTGAACTGGACTCTGACCTAAATTAACTCATTAGTATCTTTCCAGACTGACCAGGAAACACTGCAAAAACATGCTGAACACCCCAGAAAACAAAATAAAAATAAAAACAGAAGTCACAGTTATATCCAGTTGTCCTCAACACATACAGCTTCATTTTTGCTACAGATATTTTGTTGACAAAGACATAAACATGAAAAGTGACAGGTGGAAACCCTATTCCAATCACCCCCTGAATGACAATTTAGGGTTACAGGAGTCTCCTTTTAATTGTTAAATTGACTACAAATCAGACAGTTGTCTTCCACTAATTCATTAATCATGGAAGTATTCTACCTATAACATACAATCAACCCTCACTCCTTTCTGAAAGCATAATTACATCCTTGAGTTTTCTTGAAGAACTAGCAAGATTAGTATCTTCTATCATGCTAGAATACTTGTGATACAGTGCCAGAATTGAAAGATTTCCCTCTCAAATATTCTTTGTATGAAAACATGCCGTAATGGCCAAACCAAAGAAAAAATATTTATTTTATTTATTTATTATATTTATTTTCTACCCATCTCATCTAGAGGTGACTATATGAAACATGGTCTATCCCAAAATAGAGGGCCCCATTGCTGTATGAGTAGACTGAATGGATTTTTCAGAAATAGAATTTAGTTTACGGAAGGATGTGAAACACCCCTTTTGTCTATCTTTTCTTGTTGCTCTAAAGTACATTATTACTTTCCTTATAAGTTGCATAAAAGAGGGCTCCATCATCCCAAAAGCTGTTTTAATTCCCCAGACTTCAGGTAGGATTTCACTTCACTATGAAGAGATATCAATTGTATTGGGGAACATCCAAGGATATTGGGGCTATAATGCTTTATTTGGGTCAAGGACATACTAAGCTATTGGGAAGCAAGGACATAATCTAAAAATAATAATAACAATAATAATTCTTTGTCCAAAAAGGATTTTGTGATCACATTTATGGCACATTATTTAGTTATATTGTGGTTCTTAGTTGGAGAGTAGGTGTTGGAATGTACATCAGTTGCCAATATTTTTTTTAAAAAATGTGTTTCTCCCTACCATCCTACTGTAACTATTAAGGAAAGATATGCAGTTGTAGAGAAAGATACATAACTGCTGAATAGGTGCTCCTAAACCTTTTTAAAACCCTAATAATACATAGAGAAATATGCCCCATGCTTCAGATAATCATCCTAAGCAAAGTTTGGAAAATATTAAAGGTGATGGAAAAGAGACTATCAACCAACCCCATCCCTTCCCACTCAAAATAAATCCTCAACACAAAAGATAAGTTTCCACATTTATTGAACAGCATCCTATGTAGATTGTTATCCTGAAGCTCCCCTCACCCATCCCCAAATTGAGGGGTTTTAATTTTTCCCTTTTATTGATTCCTTCTTGTTAAAGATGTTCCAATTTTTAAGTCAGGTTTCATCAAAATGATAAAACATTTTGGGGAAAAAATGCATCCCAGTAACCCAAAACTGGAGGTCAAGATGGAAAAAATCTCCACGGCTACCATGTATTTTCCTTTGGTGCTCAAATAGGATGGAATGAAGGAGAGCCAAACACTACAAAAAACCAGCATGCTAAAGGTAATAAATTTAGCTTCATTGAAGCTGTCTGGGAGTTTCCTGGCTAAAAAAGCCACAGTAAAACTGACAATAGCCAGGAATCCCATGAAACCCAGAACACAGTAGAACATGGTAGAGGAGCCTTCATTACATTCCAATATAACCTCTGTATTTGATGAGTACACATCAGCATCTGGGTATGGAGGAGCTGTTGACAGCCACGTAGTACAAATCATAACTTGAATAAGCAAACAGGAAAGGACAATGGAATAAGCCAGCCTTTTCCCCAACCATTTCCTTATCTTGGATCCAGGTTTGGTGGTTATGAAGGCCAGAACCACAATTATGGTTTTGGCCAATATACATGAAACTGCTAGTGAAAAGATGATACCAAATGCAGTTTGGCGAAGGAGACATGTAACCTTCCCTGGTGGCCCAATGAACAATAAAGCACAGATGAAGGAGAGCAGGAGAGAGATCAGGAGAAGGTAAGTGAGACTCCGGTTGTTGGCTTTGACTATTGCGAGGTCTCGATGCTTAATGAAAAGCCAAAGCACCAGTGAAGTCAGACAAGAAAAGAAAAGAGCCAGAACAGCTAAAGACACCCCTAAAGGTTCTTTCAGAGATAAGAAACTTAAAGTTTTTGGAATGCATAAACGTCGTTGAGGATTTGGATACTGATTTACCAGACATGGGTAGCAGGTGACTGCATCTGAAAAAGAAAGTGCACAGTCAATTATGTTGTCAGGTTGTCAGAGAGACTCAATAGAACCTATAAAACTGCCTTATCATTTTATTAGGATTATGCTCTTACAATCATTGCAGTATCCCTATGCTCACACGATCAAGTATCTATATGATTCTGGAAAAAGACAAGTTTGCTTCCTAGGATTGATGTTATGACTGATAGTGTCAGTCCTCCCAGGAAAATCAGACAGGAAACATGACCAAATTAACTAATTCTACTTTATTGTTAGGCTACCTTTAACAGAACCTGGTAAGTCTGAAGGAATCAATTTCTTGTCCCCACTTTTAACTACTTGATCCATTAGAGAGGCTTTTTTTATGACTATTAAGCAACTGCAGGGTCCTGCATCTCTGATTGCTTCCTGGGCATCTTCCTTCCTTCCTTCCTTTCTTTCTTTCTTTCTTTCTTTCTTTCTTTCTTTCTTTCTTTCTTTCTTTCTTTCTTTCTTTCTTTCTTTCTTTCTTTCTTATTGCTTGCTTGCTTGCTTGCTTGCTTGCTTGCTTGCTTTCTTGCTTTCTTTTCTTCCTTCCTTCTTTCTTTCTTTCCCTAAGGACAGTCATACTGTATATTCCATTGCAGTTGGGTCTTATTTTCCAAATCAAACCCAAAACATTCCACACTGCAGAGTCCTATTTTCTCCTATGTACCTGCTACAGCACAGACACAATGTATAAGGATTTTTTGTATCTAGCATATCTTACCCTTGTGATTTGATATTTTTCCTTCCGGACATGGAAAACAATCATAACAGCAAAATGGCTTCCCTTCTTTCTTTCTTTTACTATAACCCTCTTGGCAATTGTCATTACACAATGAAAGGGGATACCCCTAGAAACAAAAAGAAAGAATAGAATGTAACACAGAAAATATTTTATAGTAGCCTTGGATGCACTGTTAAATATAGTTTGGTTATATTTTTAGATGTCATAATGCATAAAAGACTCTCCCATTGTTTTGTCCTTCAATGTCAATTCACACTTGTCTCTAAATAAAACCCCAAGAAAATCAAATATATTTTGCTATATTTCATCTTCTTCCAATATAATCATGATAATATCATGATAATCTTATTCTATGGCCTTTGAGTTTGACAAATTCTTAGTATATTTATAAAGAGATGATACTGTAAAGAAAATCAGAAATATATAGAAAAATCGTTGACACTTATAAATACAGTATCATGTTTTCTAATCCTGTCGTGATGATAATGGCACAACAGAATTTACCATTGCAATGAACAAGGACATACATTCAATTTTGCAGCTACTAAGATTGTTGGCTGAGTAGATACAAAGACAGACAAAGAAATGATTGAAGCCGGAAATGGGCCCCCTGTCAGTCAATAGGAGTGCTAATTTACTACCAGGTTATTAAGTACTTAGAAGGTGAGGAGTTGGCAGCAGAAGGAAACAGCAGCCAAAGACTTAACAGCTCACCATCAACACCTGAATGAACAACTAAAAGCCACACACAACCAGGCATTCCTCACCATCCAGTCAGAGCTGAAGAAGCTTCTTGGATGAGAAGCAAAATGTCTTCAAAGAAGAACTGGAAAGTCCAGTTGTCTGATGAAAAAAATACATTTGGGACAATCATGACCTGCATGTCTGAGAATCTCCATAGACACAGCCAGGCACCAAATAAATACCACACAGAATAGCCCAAACTAAATAGAGACAAGTTCTCTAAAGATGGGCTCCAGAATGAGTCCAAAATCTTGGAAAAATTAAATCTCTGGTCCTGGTGACCCATCCAGATTCTGTAAGGTCACTGAAGATGCCAGAGTCTAATTTGTTCAATATACTGATTTCTGTTCATGAACAGAAGAGAACTGGCAGGAACTTTAGGAAAATTTTCTGCAGTTTGAATCAGTCTTGCTTTGCCTAATATTAGGGCACATTCCAATAAATTATGTCTATAGGCAATAGGGAGGTACTCTAATTGGTTATTCATGCCATGGTCATCTCCCATTTGTACTATTGCAATGTGCTCTAGTTGGGGCTACCCATGAAAAGTATCCAGAAGCTTCAGCTGGCACAAAATGTGTCTCTATAGGCAATCTTAAGCACCCTTTTGGGTGCTTTGGGTGCCAATTTGCTTCTCAGTCCAATTGAAGGCAATGATTATGACCTATAAAGTTCTACATGGCATGGGACCAGACTACCCACACAACCATCTTCATCCCGTTACATCAGCCCATGCCAGCTGGTGAGGAAGGGAAGCTATGCTGCAGACCCTATCAATCAAAGAACTCTGACTGCTTGGAACTAGGAAGAAAGTCTTCTTTACTATTGCCCCTGCCCTGTGGAATATTTCCCAACCCCCAGAGATGAGGCAGGCCCCCATTCTCCTTGCCTTTCAAAACTGAGTTAAAACAACTCATTGTGTGGGGATCCCAGAAAAGCACAAAGCTGGTTAGTCCCTTGAAAGACATCCATTCATTAATTTTAATGTGCCTTCTTTTATATTTTATTTTTTATATATATCCTGTTCTTATAGTTTAACATTTTATTGTACAGCAGCCAGCTTGCCTCTTTGAGGGAGATGGGCAGTTTAGAAACATGGTATGTAAATACATACATACATACATACATACATACATACATACATTCATACATACATACCTTCTATATTTTTAATTTTAGCATGTTATTGTACAGCGTCCAATAGGGAGTCTTGAGGGAGATCAGCAGTTTAGAAATAAATAAATGTTCTAAATTTTCAGTAATGTCTGAAGACAATGAAATAGATGCATACTTACCTGATTAAATCGGACAGGCCACACAATATGACTGTCATCAAGGAAAATTCCCCCTTTTGAAGAAGCATGTGGGTCTATCATTCCAACTCTGATTCTACGAAAAGACTGGTTTGGGAAGGTTACCCAGTTTATAATATCAAATCCCACTATTTGTTCACCATTTTGATTAAAAGAAATAATATCACCAGCACTATTGTTGAATGAAACTTTTCTTAAAAAGGGGTGGAGCTGAAACTGAAAGAAACATGCAAAGAAGATAGAGATTAGATGATGATGATGATAGATAGATAGATAGATAGATAGATAGATAGATAGATAGATAGATAGATAGATAGATAGACAGACAGACAGACAACATGCATTTTCAACATTAAGATTCTATAAAATTAAAAAGTATGAGACACTTTAGCATATTGGATAAAAATAATATTTATATTGCAGAAAATGGGAACAACAATCAATAAAGATTCAAGATTAAATAGCAAATCATGTGGGGATTATATTCAACTGGCAAAACATATTATCTATTATTATTATTTACAAGAATGCACTTAATTAGATTGGTTCCAATTTTGGAAGACACTCAATTCTTGATCAAAATAATTTAATTGTTATTACCTTCACATTTTTTTGTTTTTAATTCTGTTGAGGCTAGGAAGAGATCTCATAGCCACACTGCCCATGTTTCCAAATCCTCTATGAAGTTCTGCCTTCATATCTTGGACAATAAGTTGTTTTAAAATCATATTCAAGCCAGAAATAATTACTGATGACATTCATATTTTGTTAAAAACCATGGAGGAATGGCGTATCAGCAGTCAAGATATCTCTTTTCAGATTAGTGTGATTCTTGCCACTGTCAGCTATCCCAGTTCCAGTTTATTTCCTTATTGTTTTGTTTTGTTTTAGCAGGTAGTTAAATCATAAAGTGGTATGCAAGAGATGAAATATCTGTACTTGTTTTTTTCATTATTGTCATAATTTTCTTTTAGCAGAAAATTACTTTCATCAAAAAGTCATAATTTTCTTTCTTTCAGCTTATCTGTACTTTTATGTTGTATTACACTAACTCATTAATTACAGTTGCAAACAACTAATGCATCTTTCCTCACTCTTGTTCTTGGTTGATGTTCCTTACGTTTGTGTCATTCCAACTTTCTGTTTCTCTACTCTCATCTCCTTCCCTTCCCTTCCATGTGAATTGAGAGAAGAAAGACTTTAAATCAGAAGACAAATAATGGAATAAAATAAAAGAAAAGGAAGGGAGAGAAGTAGGGAAAGGTGGAAAAGTCCTCCTCCTCCTTCTCCTCCTCCTCCTCCTCCTCCTCCTCCCCCTCCTCCCAGCTTACATCCTGTGACAATATCTTTAACACCATCAAACATCCACATGTGCTATCCCAGGTTCTTGCAAGGGATTCAATAGATGGATTAAAATGCTAAATCCAGCCTAAACATCTGGGTGACAAACCATAATAATAATAATTTCTTGTCACAAAAATGATTAGGTGGCTAGATATAATTTGTTTAAAAGAGGTAATTTTGATAACTTGGCCAATTGGTTTGATCATAATATAAATCTATCTTAAACAGAATCATTTTTTTAACATCTGATGCACTGTGAGCCCATCATAGATTAAGTTGGCATGCAGATAGGTCTTCTACTGATTATAATGTGAACATGCAAGTGGATAAGGAGACATTAAGTCTAAGTTACTTACTGATTATCTCAAGTCTCTTCCTATCTGAAAAGAGGGAATTTGAATGTGATAACCTTCTCTTCAATAATTATTATCTCTGTAATCTTATAATCTTATAATTCATTTATTAATCTTAGAATGAATTTGTGATGCTATATTAAGCTATCCAATGTATTTTCCCTTTCAAAATCACAACCCAAAGTGACCAATTCTGTGCTTAGCTGTAAGTCTAACTTTAATGAACTCAGATTAATAAAGCAAATGACTAGACTTCAGCTCTGATTGTCAGACTATTTTACATCCCAACGACATGAGGAAATCATGGTGAAATTCCTGCAAGACAGCTAGCTACACAATCTGAAACACTTCATTAAAAATTCAGAAATGTGCTCACTCTTTCTTCTAATGAAGTCAGGAGAGACTTTGAGTTTAGGTTCAAAATTCATACTTTTTCATTTAGAGTTTTGGTAAATTGTTTTGTGTTGTGGCACCAGCCTCCCATTTTGTTTTTACCTGCCAGGAAACTTGATTGAGAAGATTCTTCTGCTGCGCGCTTTTTCCTATTTGTCTCTGCTTGGACTGTGATAAATACATGAAGTGCAAGGCATGTGCTACAGCATAGGCTGCATTGTAGATGCTGTAGCTGTGGGCAGTCATCTTCATTTCAAAAATTGTCCCAGGGAGACTTTCCAGTTTTTCCTTCCCAGTGCAAAGTCTCCTAGACACGTTGTCTTCATTGGGTTTGGGTAAAGAACAGTCAAAGGCATGTTCCCAAAAGATCTGGAGAAAATCATCTTCTTTTTCTAAGGTGGGATTTATGGTTTGAAGAAAAGTCTGGAATCCTAACACATCTGTTGAGTGAACTGCAAAGGATATAGCACCATAGATGAAGTCTATGTCCTGTGGTTTTTTAAAAGAATATGACACAAAATCCATCTGAGCTGTCATAATCCAGACTTTTCCTTTTGATTTGTCCATGTCAAGATATTCTGGAATTCCTAGCAATAAGAGAAGAACTGACATGGTTTGTAGTTCCCCATGTATGACTAAGATATTGGAAGTGTCCCTAGTGATAATCTTGTATGTTTTAATCCCATCTTCCACAAGAGTTTCAATAGCATTAGAAAATCCTTGTTTAGGGAGTCTTTGAATAAAATCAAAGCAGATGCCTTTCTGGGGAAACAACGGAAGTACATTCTGCACAAATCTCTCCCCATTATCATCATCGAGATAGAGCACTCCGATCCACGTCCACCTAAAATGAAGAAGCAGGTGAAGAATCCCTTTGTACTGATGAATGCCTTGGGGAAACATCTGTTGGACAAAAGCATCTTGGTTTTTGTAATCCAGCACTGGAGCAGAACCATAGGACAGCTAAGGAATTGATAAGAAAAAGAACATGTTTCCAAAACAGGTTTCTGTGCTTCTGGTGACATATGGAGGTGACATGTTAGTTAAATTTTGATGCTGATTCTAATATAACTACATGGAAGGGAACTCAAATATTGAACTCTCCTCCTCCAATTTTTTAATTATCATATCTTTTTATAGATTAGAAACTCTCAGTCTGCAGTTCATATATAATTCTTCTCTTAAATACTATATAACAAATCAAAACTACACTCTGCAACCCATCTGAACTGTTATCATTTCCGTATTTGATTTAGGATATCTAATAACTCAACAATTCCATTTAAATTCCAGTTTCCTGTTATACTAAGACTTTTAAAAAATGTCAAGTCACATCCTGGTTGTTAAATCATTCATTCCTGATATTTTCTTTGAAGGTTTACAACTTATCTCCTACAGTATAACAAAAGAAGAGGCAATCAAACTAATTCATATAAAAGTTATTCATAAAAGTACCATTAAATCAGTAGCCCTCCTTCATGGATTACTGCCTTGTCATGGCGAAGGGGCTTGCATAACTCAATGAAGCTATGAGCTATGCCGTGCAGGACCACCCAAGATGGCCAGGTCACAGCAGAGAGTTCTGACAAAATGTGATCCACTGGAGAAGGAAATAGCAACCCATTCCAGTATCTTTGCCATGAAAACTCCCTGGACAGTACCAAAAGGCAAAAAGATATGACGCTGGAAGATGAGCCCCTCAGGTCAGAAGGTGTCCAATATGCTACTGGGGAAGAGCAGAGGGCTAGTACTAATAGCACCAGAAAGAGTGAAGTGACTGGACCAAAGCTGAAAGGGCGCTGTAATATCCATGAATCAAGGCAAACTGGTCGTGGCAAACAAGAGATGACAAGACTGAACATTGACATCTTAGGAATCAGCGAACTAAAATGGACAGGAATGGGTGAATTTAATTCAGAGGACCATCAGATATACTACTGTGGGCAAGAATTCCTCAGAAGAAATGGATTAACCTTCATAATCAATAAAAGAGTAGGAACAGCAATACTGGGATACAATCCCCAAAATGACAGAATGATCTCAGTGGGAATCCAAGGCAAACCATTCAATATCACAGTAGTCCAAGCCTATGCCCCAACCACTAGTGCTGAAGAGGATAAAATTGACCAGTTCTATGAAGCCCTACGGCACCTTATAGAATCAATACCAAAAAATGATGTCCTTATCATCATGGGGGATTGAAATGCTAAAGTGGGAAGCCAAAAGATAACTGGAATAACAGGCAAGTTTGGCCTTGGAGTACAAAATGAAGCAGGCACAGGCTGATAGAATTTTGTCAAAAGAATACAATGGTCATAGCAAACACTCTTTTCCAAGAGACAGCTCTACACATTTGTGATGCTATATTAAGCTATCCAATGTATTTTCCCTTTCAAAATCACAACCCAAAGTGACCAATTCTGTGCTTAGCTGTAAGTCTAACTTTAATGAACTCAGATTAATAAAGCAAATGACTAGACTTCAGCTCTGATTGTCAGACCATTTTACATCCCAACGACATGAGGAAATCATGGTGAAATTCCTGCAAGACAGCTAGCTACACAATCTGAAACACTTCATTAAAAATTCAGAAATGTGCTCACTCTTTCTTCTAATGAAGTCAGGAGAGACTTTGAGTTTAGGTTCAAAATTCCATACTTTTTCATTTAGAGTTTTGGTAAATTGTTTTGTGTTGTGGCACCAGCCTCCCATTTTGTTTTTACCTGCCAGGAAACTTGATTGAGAAGATTCTTCTGCTGCGCGCTTTTTCCTATTTGTCTCTGCTTGGACTGTGATAAATACATGAAGTGCAAGGCATGTGCTACAGCGTAGGCTGCATTGTAGATGCTGTAGCTGTGGGCAGTCATCTTCATTTCAAAAATTGTCCCAGGGAGACTTTCCAGTTTTTCCTTCCCAGTGCAAAGTCTCCTAGACACGTTGTCTTCATTGGGTTTGGGTAAAGAACAGTCAAAGGCATGTTCCCAAAAGATCTGGAGAAAATCATCTTCTTTTTCTAAGGTGGGATTTATGGTTTGAAGAAAAGTCTGGAATCCTAACACATCTGTTGAGTGAACTGCAAAGGATATAGCACCATGGACATCACCAGACAATCAACACAGAAATCAGATTGACCATGTGCTCTGCAGCCAAAGATGGAGAATCTCTATACAGTCAGCCAAAGATGGAGAAGAATTTTTTCAAGAGAATACGATGGTCATAGCAAATACTTTTTTCCAACAACCTAAGAGATGGCTCTACACACAGACGTCACCAGACGGTCAACACATAAACCAAATTGACCATGTCCTCTGCAACCAAAGATAGAGAAGCTCTATACAGTCAGTAAAAACAAGACCAGGAGCTGACTGTTGCTCAGATCATGAGCTTCTCATTGCAAAATTTAGGCTTAAATTGAAGAAAGTAGGGAAAAACACTAGGCCACTCAGGTATGAACTAAATCATATCCCTTATGAATATACAGTAGAGGTGACAAATAGGTTTAAGGAATTAGATCTGATAGACAGAGTGCCTGAAGAATTATGGTGGAAGTTTGCAACATTGTACAAGAGGTAGCGACTAAAACCATCCCAAAGAAAAAGAAATGCAAGAAAGCAAAATGGCTATCTGAGGAAGCTTTGCAAATAGCTAAGGAAAGAAGGGAAGCAAAAGGCAAGGGAGAAAGAGAAAAATACACTCAATTGAATGCAGAATTCCAGAGAATAGCTAGAAGAGATAAGAATGCCCTCTTAAATGAATAGTGCAAAGAAATAGAAGAAAACAATAGAATAGGGAGAACCAGAGATCTCATCAAGAAAATTGGAGATATGAAGGGAACGTTTCAAGATGGGCATGACAAAGGACCAAAATGGCAAGGGTCTAACAGAGGCAGAAGATATTAAGAAGAGGTGGTAATTTTGCCACTATACAAGAATGAGCTTAGCATCCCTGATAACCACGATGGGGTGGTCACTGACTTCGAGCCAGACATCCTAGAATGTGAAATGAAATGGGCCTTAGGAAAGCTGAGCAACAACAAAGCTAGTGGAGGTGACAGTATTCCAGCTGAGCTATTCAAAATCTTAAAAGATGATGTAAAAGTGCTACACTCAATTTGCCAGCAAATTTGAAAACTCAACAGTGGCCTCAGGACAGGAAAAGGTCAATTCCAATTCCAAAGAAAGGTGATGCCAAAGAATGTTCAAATTATTGCACCTTTGCACTCATTTCACATGCAAGTAAAATTATGCTTAAAATCGTAGAAGCTAGACTCCAGCAGCATGTGGATCAAGAATTTCCAGAAGTACAGGCAGGATTTCGAAGAGGCAGAGGAACTAGATATCAAATTGCCAAATACTCTGGATCATGAAGAAAGCTAGGGAGTTCCAGAAAAACATCTACTTCTGCTTCATTGACTATACTAAAGCCTTTGATTGTGTGGATCACAACAAATTGAGACAAGTTCTTAGAGAGATGGGAGTACCAGACCATCTTATTTGTCCCTTGGGAAACCTATATGTGGGTCAAGAAGCAACAGTGAGAACTGGACATGGAACCACTGATTGGTTCAAAATTGGGAAAGGAGTCCTGCCTATTTAACTTACATGCTGAGCACTTTATAAGAAAGGTAGGGCTAAATGAATCAAAAGTTGGAATTAAGACTGCCGATAGAAATATCAACAACCTAAGATATGCAGATGATACCACTCTAATGGCAGAAAGTGAAGAGGACCTAAAGAGCCTCTTGATGCGGGTGAAGAAGGAGAGTGCAAAAGTTGGCTTGAAACTCAACATTAAGAAAACCAAAATCATGGCATCCAGCCCTCTCAATTCCTGGTAAATAGATGGGGAAGAAATTGAGGTAGTTTTTATCTTCCTGGGCTCCAAGATCACCATAGATGGGGACTGCAGCCAAGAAATTAAAAGACGCTTGTTCCTGGGGAGAAAAGCCATGGCAAATCTAGACAGCATACTAAAAATCAGAGACATCACCCTGCCAACAAAAGTAGATATAGTCAAGGCCATGGTTTTCCCAGTTGCAATGTATGGCTGTGAAAGTTGGACCATAAGAAAGGCTGAGCGCAAAAGAATTGAGGCCTTTGAACTATGGTGCTGGAGAATACTCCTGCAAGTCCCCTGGACTGCAAGGCGATCAAACCGGTCTGTCCTAGAGGAGGTCAACCCTGATTGCTCTTTAGAAGGCCAGATCCTGAAGTTGAAACTCAAGTACTTTGGCCACCTAATGAGAAGGAAGGACTCACTGAAGAAGAGCATAATGCTGGGAAAGATTGAGGGCAATAGAAGAAGAGGATGACAGAAAATGAGGTGGCTGGATGGAGTCACTGAAGTAGTTGGCGTGAGCTTAAATGGACTCCAGAAGATGGTAGAGGACAGGAAGGCCTGGAGGAATGTTGTCCATGGGGTCGCGATGGGTCGGCATGATTTCACAACTAACAATAACAAAATTAGTATCCAAATAAAATCAACTAAGTAGCAATAAAATTATAAACAATAACATTGATTTTTATAAGACCAAAAATTAACATCTGCAGCATTTTCTAAGATACAAGTTTTTATGCATATTTATTCATATATAAGATGGCTTTGTTAACAGAAATTTCCATAATGTACATATATTATATATATTATTTCAAGGAGTGTAGGTGTTTTTATATACAAAAACGGCAGACACTTTTATCATAGGAAAAAAGGGATAACTATTTAAATAAAGATTGTTATGTTAGAATTTGAAAATCTGTAGCAAATGAAAACTGTTCAAGAAATCCTTACCTGTGGAAGTTTGTAGATACTTAGGATGGTGGCCATATGGAGGCAGACATTTGAATTAGGTCCCCCAATGACTGCAACTGCATTGTTTCTACTATCACACTTGTAGTTTGGAATCA